CCTGCCGCTCGCAGCCCCAGGCCCCGCTGGCTCGAAGGCCTCTGCGGTGGGCGCCGTCCTCGGGGGCGTGCGGGAGGGCCCGCTTCTCTCCCCGACGAGAGACGGGTGACGCTGCGTCCCTGCTTCCAGACGGACGTGGTGCCCCTCGGAAGCCGAATCCCGTCACTGCATTCTATGGGAGAAGCCAAGACGCCCGGTGCTGTTGCAGATCGGCCTGTGCGTGTAGACTGCATCCGAGGGAGACGATCATTTATGCGTATATAAAGTTTCCCACTTGCGTTGTTAAAGAGAGTAGGGATGGCAAAAGCAAATAAATGAAATAGGATGGCCGTGATAGGGAGGAAGCTGCGTGTCTGCTGGATGTTAGAAGCTGAGAGACGTGTGAAAGTGAAGCCAGTTTCTGCATTTGGCTGCTCCGTGCCTTCCCTTTCTGGGTGATGAACAATCTGTGTGGAAATACTTTACCACCGTTTTGACCCATTGCATGCTGTGTTTGCCTTCGCTGCCTTTCACACAGTATTTCCATTTGGTCTGCATATTTCTGTGGAGACCAAAGGCTGGAGGTGACACAGAAGTCCAAGTTCTGTGGGATCCAAGAGAAGTTTTAGGATGAGGCTGCTGGCAGATTTTCTTACCATATGCATTTCATCTGAATATCGTCTATCATTAGGAGACTAAATACATAAGTGGTCACCTCTCCCTAGCCTGTTAACATTGGCAAGTAAGATACTTCCATAACATTTGATTCCACAGAGTTATAGATCTGGGAGGAAATCTTTTGGTATCAAGTGTCTTCTTAAAAATATGAATTTAAAACACAGTTTTGGATCTGAAACTGCTCCAAATCAATTTGTTAGGTATTTCGCAGATATTGTCAGCAAGCAAACTCTAGAAAGAACATTTTTGTTTGTACAGTTGACAGGGGAGTCCAATGCAACTAGTTAGCGATCAATAGTCCTCTTAACAATTGGAGACACAGTGTGTTTTTAGTGGAGCTAAAATTGTTATCTAACCAACACCCACCAGCCTGGCATTAATATGTAGATGTATTATTTAGGTTCATGACATGCCTGAATACACTATCTCCAGCATGAGGGGAGGTGAGAAATTCAAAGCACGCTAGCTGGAGCTGGTAACAGTTACCATGAATTGTCCCTACAAGTCATACAAGTGGCGTTGGAGGGAAATGTTCAGTTGAGGACAAGAAAGCTGAAGTAACAAGCTGTGATTTTTCTGCCTGCCCAAATACTGCACAAGTTTCATAGAGGTCACTGACCTGGTGCCTGGCAGAAACTGGTTTCTACTATTGCTTAGGTTTGGGCTAAAGCCAGCAGTTTATCAATTTTCTGTGGCCTCGCCTTTATTAAAGAGAGTTTCTGATTAACCTCTCAGTGGTACAGCTGTCCCTTTGAGGAAAAAAAAAGATCACACAATGACAGCTGAGTGACGCTAACAGAGAGAGGAAGCACAGTCAGCTCTACAAATGTATTTGCTTACACAGCCGCACTGCCCGTGCCTGGTAGCCTCTCGCCCACCTCACTGTCTCTTAATCCACCCTTCAACTTCAGTCACATTTAGTAGAGAGTAACAGGATTCAGAGGTATGATATTCCCACACCTTTTCTGAAGATGAGTGGTTTGGAGAAACGAGAGACTCGTTTAGCTCCCAAATGAGGGAAAGAAGAAACAATGCTGTGCGTATGTTCTTCCGTGAAACAGTGGCTGGCCATGAGTACTGGCCAGCTTATTACACCGTAGGTCACAGTGCGTATTATCAATATGTATTATGTCTTATCTTAACCAAGCAAGAGATATGGGGGAGCTATGGGTATTTGGGACAT